TACTGTAGTGAATATAAGTAGTATATGTTAAGGGGGCGGCAAAAATACTATTGGTAAATATTTCGATAACATGCAGGTTAGTCACTCTCTCTGTGAGGTTAATTCACGAGTTAGATACAAAGGAATATTTTCTGCTTTACTCATGCATGTTATTATTTTTCACATTTTTTTTTCTGTTTCACAAGCATTCAAGCCTTACTATTTGGTGAACTTCTCTTTGTTGTACCGAATTCATTAACCAGTAAACCATGGAATTATATTCTCCTTACAATGATTGTGAGTATTTGTAAATTTTTGGAAGGATGATTTCGTCAATAAAGTCACTATGTGGTTTTATTACAAAATCTAGTTCATATCAAGATGCAAGCTGATTATGTTCAGATGCTATAATCATCCCACAAGCAGTGGCTTTCGTGATCTTTTAGCCTATTGAATATAATTTTAACTTCCTGAGATTTAGTCCTTGTGGAGATAGTATACAGATGAGAGGTAGGAATATCCTGCTGAGAAATCTAGAAGTAGGAGAAGATATTCATCTTGCGTTTCAATGCTAGCTACCATTCATCTTTACTATCAAACTGATTATGAATTTGATGGTGATGATATTTTGTCTCGAAATTGGTGCTGAGGATGTCATGAGGCCTAGGGATGAAACATCTATGACAAATTGTTAAGCTGATTGTCTTTAAGTTACATATTAACGCTATGTTGATGTTAAATAAAACTTCTGATTAGAATGAGTGATAAGTAGACGGCTGTTCACCATAATCACTCATACCTTACTCACTTCGCTACGTGTCTTCCAGCAACTCTCCGAATGACATTAAGTTAGAGGAGGATAGTAATTAAGTGTTTATTACAAGTTTAACATTCTTCTGCTTGCAGTAGTACTGCAAGGCTCTATGATGTAGCTTAGCTTATAAGAAGTTATTGCGTTAATAAACTGTAGAGATATCCATTAGGTCATGTCTCCAGACAATTTTGTCACCAATTCAATTGAAAATGAACCGTTCCACTGTATGTTTTACGGTTTACCCTTGACGCTAAGCAACAAGGTCATCTGCAATTATTACAATTAAGGAGTATTTCAAACTTGGAGGAAACTAGAATTCTCTTTGTACATAAAATTGTCAAAATTTGGAATAGGAAAAACAAAACACTTCCAAGTCGTTCCTTTCATTCATAACTACATGTGTACAAGAATGAAGCAGATATCGAATGAAAGTTTATTGAATGTCTCAATAACTATTACTGTCTAAACTTATTTCAACAGCAAACTCAGAAACAACAGATCCATGTATCTGCTAAATGTAAGGAAATATACCTATCATCGTTTTATGATTTTCACTTTAACTGTTTCCACTCTCATAATATATAAAGTAGTCCGAAATCGATTTCTTTGCTAATTATACTCTTTTTTCCATCTCTTTTCAAAATCAGATTTCAACCGATGATTATGCAACTTGTAATTGAACCTTCCAGTTAACTTATACTTCACTTGTACTATTCAGTAAAAAAACCTTGCCTGGTTAACTAGTTCACTAGTTATTAGCCGGTCCTAAGATCTAACAAAGAGGGAAGGTTGGGCATAGGGCTAGAAAACCTACCACAGAAGATCAACATAACCACGAAAGAAACTTCAAAGAGATTATGAAAAATAAAATTAAACTTATTCCTCGCTGGAATCGGAGAGGCGAAATGATACCAGTTGGTGAAAGCCTTCGAGAAGCCAATCAACTAATCTGTCTCCATTCTCTGAATGAAAGCGAAAGTAAACAAGGGGACATGGAATGTCCGCAATATGTTTGAACCCCACAGGACTGCCCAGATTCCCAAAGAGATGAAATGTTAAGGCATGGAAGTGCTTGGAATCTGTGAAAGCAGATGGAATGGAAGTGGACTGTACAAACTGTCAACTGGAGAGTTAATAATCTACTTCGATATTGCCACCCACACAACAACCACGATCACACTGAGATTTGGAGTGACTATCATGGTGTTTTCCTTTCAACAGCATCGAAGGCTGTCATGCAGTCAGAACCAATCTCCTCAAGCAGGATCATGACAGCAGGATGGATTCAACTCGGAAGGAATGAAAGTCATAATCATACAATGCTACATTGTGCACCTACAAATAATGCAGATGGATAGGAGAAGGAGGAATTCTACAGACAACTTCAATCAACACTGGACAAGACGTCAGTTGTCAATATCAAAATTCTAATGGGCGACATGAATGCCAAACTGGGAGGGGACAACACAGGAAGAGAACTAACCATGGGTCGAGAGGCGCTAGGTGAAATGAACGAGAATGGAGAATTGTTTGTAGAATTCTGCGCATTCAACGATTTGGTGATTGGAGGCGGTGTGTTCAGGCACAAAGATATCCACAAAGCGACATGAATTTCACCAGACACCAGGACACACTAAAAATCAAATCGGCTTTATCTCAATCTCAAGAAAATGGAGACGCAGTCTACTTAACACAAGGTCAAGAAGGGGAGCAGATGTAGGTTCACACCACTCACTGTCTAGTGCAAGGAACCTTCCAAATCAAGTTAAAAGCCTTCAAGGAAGCAGGTGATAGACCTCAATTCAAGTACAACACTCGGAAACTGAAGGATGAAACTACAAAGGAGACCTTCAAAGCAGCCATCAAGACAAAATGGGAGACATCGAGGAACATCCGTGAAGAAACCTGTGTGGAAGAACACTGGAAGTCTTTGAAATCCATGTGGAAAGAAACCTGCACAACAGTATTAGGAAGGAAGAAGAAAGAAGACAAGGAATGGATCTCGACGGATACCTGGAAGCTGATAGAGGAGAGGAGGATGGTGAAGCAGAAGATCTGACAACACCATGTCAAATGACCAGGTTACTATCTGGAAGGGGAGAGATCAGCACAGAAGAAAACAATCAAAGATGATGAAGGAATTTTAATTACGAAAGAAGGGAAACAAAGGAAACAATGGGCCAACCACTTCGAAAAGCTCTTAAATGGATCACCGCCACCACCTGCACTTCGTCCGGAAATACCACCTACAGCCCAGCCACAGAACTACAAGTGAACATAAATCCTCCAACAAAATTCAAAGTCCTGAGCGCTATAACGCTACTGAAATGTGTGAAAGCAGCAGGACCAGATGGAATGTCACCAGAAGCACTGAGAGCAGACGCAGAGACAACAGCCGACATGCTGATACCACATCACTGTTGCAGAAGGTGTGGAAGGAAGAGGAGGTACCTGCCTACTGATTGGAAGAAGGGTTACCTTGTCAAACTGCCGAAGAAGGGGGACCTCAGTGTTTGCAAGAACTGGCGAGGAATCACTCTTCTGTCCACCTAAAGCAAGCAAAATATTAAGCCGCATCATCTTGCAGAGACTAGAGGATGCACTGGATTCAAAACTACGACCCAAACAGGCTGGCTGAATTCAGGAAGTAAAATCATGTATGGACCAAAATGCAACGCTTTGCATCATCATAGAACAGAGTATAGAATGGCAGTCAACTCTCTACCTCCACTTCACTGACTTAGAAAAGGCCTTCAACAGCATCAAATGAGAGGTAATTTGGAAACTGCTTCAACACTAACGAATACTACAAACCCTTATCAACATCATTCAATAAATATATGAAGACGCAACAGTCCAAGTGATACACAATGAAAAGCTCACTTATGCTTTTGAAGTGAAGACAGGAGTGGGAAAAGGCTGCCACCTTCCATCATCAATAATCTTCCTGATTGTGGTAGACTGGATCATGCATCAAACAATGAGGAAAGAGAAGAGAGGGATACGCTGTTTGACAGTGGAAAACTTCCTATAATATTTGGATTTCACCAGAGATGACTTGTATCTAATGTCATGTTACACAAACTTGAAGACCTACACTCAAAATCCAACAAGTTGACAGGAGAGGTAGGGCAACGAAGACGGTACTTCAAGTGAAGGTAGAGAAGACAGAGGTGATGATGATGATGATGAAGATACCCCACCAACACCACCACCACCACCACCAACAACAACAACAACAACAACAATGACAAGCTCAAATCATCATCAATGAGAGACACCTAAACGAAGTAGACTCCTCCACCTATCTAGTCACATCAGCATCGTCTCAACTACAGGCAGTGGCACACACAGTTGAGAACGTCGAAGCCAGCCAGCATCGGGAAGACAGCAAGACAGACATTCATTAACTCGAAACCAGTGTGGAGATCTCCTGCACTCCACTCACCATAAAGCATGAACAAGATGTGGATTTTCAACACCAATCCACTCAATTCAGTGCTTCTATGTGATGGATCAGTGACTTGGTGCATTCCGAGAGTCATTTCATACAAACTACAGATATTCATCAACAACTGCCACACACACTGTCTCGTTACTGAAGATCAGATGACCAGAGTAATAAGAATAAGCAACAAGTAACTCTGTGAACGAACCAAGCAAGAAGTTATCAGTGAAGAAATATGTCTGAGTAAGTGGAGATTGATGGAGATGGATTTACTGAGAAGAGCATTGGTGGACATCATGCGTCAGGCTGGACCGTCGAGTGTAACGGAGATGGGAAGCGTTGAGTTGTGTGTCCGAGATGAGGGTGACATTGAGGAGATTGTGTGAGGAGTAAATGAGAGGTTGTGGCTGTCGTGTAGCCAGGTTCAAATATTTCAGAGAACAGAGTCCACTAGAGACATGCTACCGAAGCCCTATGTTCCACTGGGAACCCAAGGGACAAATAATAATAATAATTCAGTAAAAAAGACTGATAACCCACAATATACCATTCAAGACCACAAGTTGTATGGGTTGTGTATAAGCACGTAGACGCATCTAAACAACTCATCGTGTTTGGAGTGAGTTGGGGTCAAGAATATCATTACTCACAGGCATAATCATCTTCAGTGAGTGAACCGAGGGTCTGGTTTTGATTTCAACCTAGTTTCCACATTTTTAACACACACTAATTGTATACTGTTCCGGTATTTCTCAATAGGCAATCACATCTGGTATTGTGATATCAACCTTCGCTATTCTTCCATCGCCAACATGGTCAATTTTGTCATGGATAATCGCTGTGATGCTGTTCACTGTCTTTTTTATTGCTGGTTTGAAAGTGAAATATGATTTGACAAAGTACTGGAATGTTGTCACCTTTTATGCATTAATCATGATCTGTTTGGGTTTTGTAATTTCAGTTCTACTGAATGAACTGAAAACTGGTCAGGTAAGTATTGAAGACTGTCATAACAACAATAATGAGACTAACTGATATGGCTTTGATTTGACAGACTGTTGTTACTCATGTTACATCATGATCAAATGGTGAAATAAAAACCTTGGTCACAGCAGGATACCAACACTCAAGTCATAAGCTCAAATCCCACTATCACTCGGTTTTTCATTTCACCTTCGATCATAACACAGTGTCATTATGAAACAAAGACGTTTTCTGTGGATACAGTAAAATATTCAACCAGGTAAAACGTCATCACACAAAGAGAGAATAAAAACAGTCGATACAAATGAGAGATTTAGGTTGAATGTCAATCTAAACGAAAACATCTCTAATATCCAGAAAAACGGATCGTATGTGACCTGAATACAATACATAATACTGAAAAGTGTCTTAACGACACTGACAATAGACAAGTAACATTCAAACAAGGAATATTCGTCATCGAATCAATTAGATAGGAAATGGTCATCACTTCACCTTACTTCAATAAAGTCAGGATTGTCGTTATGAGTTCTTTTACTTATCATACTTCATCGAATTTTACATAGAGACAAACATTCAAAGTTCAGTCCATTTCAAAGCAAAATCACAAAGGAAATAGACTAACAGAATAATCATAACTCTAGATAGAAATAACTACAATTATAGTCTGCAACCTGTCATTGTAGTAGTCTAACGAAGGTGAACATAAATTCAAGAACTAAACGTCTTTAGAGTTGAAAAAACATGGACAGTAATTACGAAGTATAACATAAAAATTCAATTTTCGTTGTAAGCAGAATGAACAAGTTTATTCGCCTCTAGACAAGCCTTGCTGACAAGTTATGTAGAGGTGGAAATCCATGTTTCGTGATCATTATTTTTGCCTGCTATAATAGTTTCATGGTCTATACAGTCCAACTAGAAATTGTTCTAGAGAGGTACTGGATATTTGATTGCCCGAAGATATGGGAACATTCCTAGTTAGCTGAAGTACTTCCATGTTGGATTCGTTTATTTGATGTATAACACACAATGAGTGATCTAGTATTATATATCTACTCGATGACGTTTCGAGCATAAATTCCCATTCCTCATTATCATATCAATGGGTAATCACACACCGATTTCCACACTTCATTCTCATAGTCACGTCACTTTATATGAGTTGTTTTTATTGGTAGCTAAATTTGCATATCTCTAGAATAGATGGTTGTTGCGTCATTTCTATTACATGTGTTGACTGCATAATATCTCTGGTAAAGGAACTTGATGATTTCCTGCAATCATCACACAAATACATTCATTGTCTGTGATTCCATTTGTAATCTGACAACTTCTGATCCCTATGTCATCTATCAGTTCCCACGAAGTCATCCTCCATTTTTGTCTCGATTAACAGTTAGTAGTATCTACAGCGGATCAACGCAACACACTACTAAATAACCCAAAAACCCCATGCTATCAGTTTCATTGGGTCTGACATGTATCTCATAACTGGTTTTTTATTTCACGTATATCGTACTGAGAACTGAAAGTCGACGAATTTAGCACCTAATGCCTAGACAAACATACCACTCTGCTAGCTGGTATCGGGGAACCAGAACGATCAGTAATACGTTATCTATACACCATATCCAATTTTTCCAAGACACTGTGCAGTTCAGCAGTAAGTTGGAGTGGTGTTTACTGTCGTTAGGTATTCGACAAACGGTTCCATATTAGATTCCTTTATTTGATTTACAACACACAATGAGTGATCTAGTATTATATATCTACTCGATGACGTTTCGAGCATAAATTCCCATTCCTCATTATCATATCAATGTGTAATCACACACCAATTTCCACACTTCATTCTCATAGTTACGTCACTTTATATGAGTTGTTTTTATTGGTAGCTAAATTTGCATATCTCTAGAATACATGGTTGTTGCGTCATTTCTATTAAATGTGTTGACTGAGTGTTGATTCGATGAACAAAGATTCAGTAATCTCTCTCTCTCCCTCTCTCCACCTAATTATATTGGACTTGAGTACAGTGGCTTTATCCCACCCATTCTACTGTGTGGTTGTGTTAATGCTTCCATTGCAATAACTGAGTTTTTTCTACATTATTCATCTTGTTCACCTCTGCCATTCTATATATAGCTAAACTACAATGTTCGGCTATTCTAACTGACCCCGACTGACCGACCGACCGACCGACCGACTAGTTTGACCTATATACTTGACCTAACTCTCAATCATTACATGGTATTTGATAGATTATACTATTTTGCTTAATTGGTTCTATCGGATCCTTAAGTCAGCCGATAAACCTTATCTCTCAATGACCTCGTAGGTATAAATGCCACTCTATTTCCAGCTTTTTTGAAGATTCTACGTAAAGTTTCTGAGGTACCTTCCTCATAAGGCTGTGAACTCCTTTTTACTCGTGTTGTCGTTATTGGTCACAGTCGTGTGACTGTTATTTTTTCTTTTCTTATGTGTTCGTACGAATTTCATAATAAACTGTGGAGGATAATTATTAACTATTATTATTATTATTATCGAATGCCGAAAGTAGTGTGTGATTACACATTGATATGATTATGAGCAGTGATAATCTATGCGGTAAACTCCATCCAATAAATAACACTAGATCACTCACTGTGTGTTATAAATCAAATAAACAAATCTAATATGGAATTAATTACTACTACAGTGCCCAAGTTTTACACCTATATTAATAAAGTCGATTACGTTTGAACAACCATAATTATGATATACTTATGACGTTGAGGCAACAAATATGCAGGAGGAAATGGAGATGGATTGGGCATGCACTGAGAGGGCCGACTGGGGACATCATGCGTCAGGCCAGTTGCTCGAGTGGAATCCCCATGGGAAGCGACGAGTTGGACGTCCGAGGTGAGGGTGACATGGAGGAGGTCGTGCGAGGAGGAAATGAGAGCTTCTGGGCTGTCGTGGAACCAGGTTCAAAAGATCTCAGAGAACAGAGGTCACTGGAGACGTGCTACTGAAGCCCTATGTTCCACTAGGAACCCAAGGGACTAATAATAATAATATGACGTTGAGGAAATTGGAGTTTCTTTTCGGTAGTTCAACGTCACATCATAAAGCGCCACAGATATTCCTAAGCTATCCAAGATATAAGAATTACTTCACCTTAGTGTTAGCCTAATTGAATTCGTCTATTATCCTCGATAAACTAAATTGCAGTTTGACCTCAATTCACTAAACTCAATACTCATGAATTGAATTTGCTCAGATTCTCCGATATTTCACTGTTTGCATTATCTAAAATGGTGTATAGCCTCCACAGTAAAGATAATTGGTTTCACAGTGATGCTTATACTTAAAGTGAACATTGAAAATTAAGTTTTCACGAAATTTTTAAACTTTGACCTTGTAAAAATTCATTTTTCAGGTGGCTAATCATATACTTGGTGCGATTTATGTCACCATATCTATTCCTGTAAGTTTTATAGAATGTTTTTTTATCAGAGAAACTTACGTGAAACAACCGATTGGATTGCTTCTGCAAACTACAGATTTATAATTTCAATGTTTCAGCACTTCCTATTCTCACTTTTGATAACAGTATATGTATATTTGGCTAAGGTTTACGGTGAAACAGTGTAGTTAAGTAGACAGGCATCTCTGTCGAAAACGTACCATGTTTTTTTATTCAGCTGACTCGATGTATGCTGTAGTCATGACCTCTGAATCAACACATTTTAATACTGAAATAAACAATCTGCTTAAATATTGGGGTCTCTCGTAGCAGACACAACCTCGCCTGATTAACTAGTTCACCATCAATGGGAGAAACTTAAAGGAAGTAGTCTCTTTCACCTACCCAGACAAGGAAGTATCGTTTCAACTACAGGCGGAGGAACAGGCACAGACGAGGACATCAAAACCAGCCAGGATCAGAAAGACAGCGAGACAGATGTTCATCAACCTGAAACCAGTGTGGAGATCTTCTGCACAACATCCGGATTTTCAACAACAATCCAGTCAAGTAAGTCAGTGCTACTATGTGATTGATTGTTGAGACACTTGGCACGTTACGAAAAGCATTTCACACAAACTACAGATATTCATCAACAACTGCCACCTATGCTGGCTCGTTACTCAAGCTCGGATTGCCAGAATAATAAGAATAAGCAACAAGGAACTCTAGCTCTCCTGGCGACGAACCAACATAGCAAGAACCTATCGCTCAACAAATATGCACTAGAGCTATCTACACAAAACCGACATGAATAGGGTAATATGTGAACTATCATAGCTTTCGTCCACTTCAGTACAAGCGAGTGTTAGTTAGGTGCTCATTCAGTAGAATCCAACGAATATGCACATAGGATAGTTTGGAAGATGAAAGAGGAACACTGTCTGAAATATTGTTGGAAAGTAAGTATCCATCAAAGTTTGTTAGGCAACACAAAATAATCAGAGTGCCAAAACCAGATCTTCAGTTTGTCCAAACGAAGGATGTTTTTATCAGTCTTCCATAGAAAGATGACCCTCATAGAGCAATTCTTAAGCAAAGACTTAATGCTGCTGTTAGAAGGACTTACTATGCAGCTGAGGTTCGATTAATAGAAAGCAGCAAGCTAGTAGATCCTCCCAAACCCTTACAGCATGTGAACAACAAAGTCATATTCCATTGAGTCTACCAATTCAAAAGTACATGTGGTGACACATATATAGGAATGACTCACATATATATACAAATAAGCGCTTTGGAGCACATTCCAAAATGGCTCCAAAAGCAAACTGAATCACCTGACCCAATAAACGTTAATTGATACCAGCCATCTAAGTTCTTCGATCGCGAAATATCGTTGTGAACTTCAAACCTTTGGACCTATTTACAAAAAACGTGTTAAGGACGGATCCTTAAATTTGTTAAGGCCATAGTTGTTAGGAAGTCCAAACCACCTTTGAGTGTGTTCATAAACAATTTTCTATCACAGTAAAACTCCCTTGGTGAATTCGGTGCTGAAACCAAGTTTAAAGTATTACTATTTTCTCTCAATTCATATTCACTGTTATTTTGACGTTTTAATTCAGCCTTCCTAATTGACTCCATTCCATTTCGTCACCCTTAATCCTCATGAACTTCCGTATAAATATCTATGTCAAATATGTGTATGATGAAGCAGTTTGAAATTATGATTATTATTTGTCCCTTGGGTTCCTAGTGAAACATACACCTTCAGTAATACATCTCCATTACACTCTCCACTTCTCTGCAACCCTTCCAACCTGGCTCCACACTCCACGACTGACCACAACCTCTCATTTCTTCTTCACACCATCTCCTCAATGTCACCCTCATCTCGGACGCCCAACTCGTCGTTTCACATTTGAGTTCCACTAAATGGCCTGGTCTGTCACGTGGTGTCCCCGAATGCTCTTCTCGGTGAATCCATCTCCATTTTCTGCTGCTGCATGTTTGTTGAGCGATAGGTTCTTGCTATGTTGGTTTGTTGCCGGGCTAGCCAGAGTTCCTTGTTGCTTATTCTTATTATTCTGGTCATCCATCTTATCTTCAGTGTCGAGTGAGTGTAGGCGGCAGTTGTTGATGATGCTTGTTTACAGGTTGTTGGGAATGCTTTTCGTCATGCGCCAAGTCTCTCAACGATCATATAGAAGCACTGACTCGACCCAGAATAGTGTTGAGTACTTAGATTAAAAAAACTTGCTACTAGATGTTGTCGAATGATATTAGTGATGAATAGTGGCTATCAATGTTTTACAGGATGTGCATTTCGGTCTATCTAGGACTCATAGGCTGGATGTACCTGTCTCACAGTGAATGATGTTATTCCAACTACAACTCAAATGACAAATCGTGTATAGATATGATTAGAATGAACAAAAGATAAACATTCACCTCAGATCCATTGCAATGATGCACTCAAGATAAATATCTTCACCACCGTCTCAACATGTCCTCATATCAAATAGCTGATACGTGTTCTATTCTCACATAGAATGTAAACAAAATTGAGAAAGTGAACTTATCATTTTATGGTATGTGAAACTAGTATGGTTCTGATTTCTTTTAAGTACGTATACATATGAGTATGCACCATTTTAAGCGAAGAAATTTACTCGTTTTAATTCATTTTATCTTCTTATATATTTTTAGTGCACTATTTGTGAAGGACAAATGATACAAGGCGGGAAAAATGTTGAATTTAAAAGGAAACAGTATATTTTAGCATCTTTAATGTGTTGGTTCACACTGACATGTACATACTTTGGTGTATTATTTCAGCTTTCAGATTACAACTTTTTTATATCATATAGTTCAAATCCATAACAGTAATAATAATCATACTAATACTGACAATAATAATAGTGGTACACAGATTTCTAACCTTTCCTGATATTGTTGCTAATTTAATTTGAGCATCTATTCTGTTGTGTCAGTCAGTCAGTCAGTCAATACGAATAAGACACCTAGTATTACTGCCTAGTGATGTAAGTAGCAATATATCACATCAGTAAATTAGATGCAAGTCGGAAATGATGAGAGATGAAGGAATGAAGGGAGATGTAAGTGAAAACTGTAGAAAGTCACAAGAAGCAAGGAAGTTGAGCTAAAAGATAGTCAAAATGTGATTGGATTGTTTGGATAAAGATAATATGTGGATTTATCATAACAAGTAAGATCAATTTCGAATTATATCCCATAGAATCCACATACACCGATTTTGGTCCACGTGGACCATAACTTACTTTCTTGAACAGTATCAAGTGGATGTATGAAAAATTTGGAGAGGTAGATTGTAATGAGTAAAGCGTATTTAACCTCGAATGGTTGGCTAGGTCACTAGTACTAGCCTGTCCTAAGATCCAACAAACAAAGAAGGTTGGGCATAGGGCTAGAAAACCTACTACGGAAGATCAACATAACCACGAAAGAAACTTCAAAGAGATTATGAAAAATAAAATTAAACTTATTCCTCGCTGGAATCGGAGAGGCGAAATGATGCCAGTTGGTGAAAGCCTTCGAGAAGCCAATCAACCAATCTGTCTCCATTCTCTGGATGAAAGCGAAAGTAAACAAGGGGACATGGAATGTCCGCAATATGTTTGAACTCCGCAGGGCTGCCCAGATTCCCAAAGAGATGAAACGTTAAGGCATGGAAGTGCTTGGAATCTGTGAAAGCAGATGGAATGGAAGTGGACTCTACAAACTGTCAACTGGAGGGTTAATAATCTACTTCGATATTGCCACCCACACAACAACCACGATCACACTGAGATTTGGAGTGACTATCATGATGTTCCCTTGAAGAGCATCGAAGGCTGTCATGCAGTCGGAACCAATCTCCTCCTGTAGTATCAGATCATGACAGCCAGATTCAACTCGGAAGGGAGGAAAGTCACAATCAAACAATGCTACGCTATGCACCTACAAATAATGCAGATGGATAGGAGAAGAGGAATTCTACAAACAACTGCAATCAGTAATGGACTAGACTCCTTCCCAGTTGGTGACATCGAAATCCTCATGGGTGGGTTGACATGAATGCGAAACTGCGAGAAGTGGACAACACAGGAAGAGAACCAATCATGAGTCAGGAAGCACTCGGTGAAATGAACGAGAATCGAGAACAGTTTGGAGACTTCTGCACATTCAACGATTTGATGATTGGAGGCGAGGCAGTGTGTACAAACACAAGGATATTCACAGGGCAGCGACATGGATTTGATTTCACCAGACACACTGTGTTAAACACCAGATTGACTTCATCTCAATGTGAAGAAAGAGGGAGACGCAGCCTACTGGACACAAGATCAGATCGAGAAGGGGAGCAGATGTAAGTTCACACCACTCACTATCTAGTCCAAGGAACCTACCTTCCAAATCAAGTTGAAAGCCTTCAAAGAAGTTGGTGATAGACCACAGTTCAAGTTGAACACCCAGGACAGAAACTGAACTGAAGGACGAAACAACGAAGTACATCTTCACGTCAATCATCAGGACAAAATGGAAGACACTAGGCAACATGCCTGAAAAAATCAGGGTGGAAGAACACTGGAACTCTTTGAAATCTATGTAGAAAGGAACCTGCTTAACCGTATTAAGAAGAAAGAAGACAAGAAATGGGTCTCGACGGACACATGGAAGCTGATAGAGCAGGGAGAGGGAGACGCTGAATCAGAAGATGAACCAGCGCAGTGTAGGGATGAGCAACGAAAAGAGGGACTGAACACAACCTATAAAATACCACACTGAAAGAAGTGAAGAAGGGTAAGTGCAAAACAAAAGAGACTTCTACGACACATTGACAAGTGAAGCAGAACAGGCTGCAGGTAAGAAAGAAACGACAACACTTATCAATGACCAGGTTACTATCTGCGAAGGCAGAGATCAACACAGATGAAACGAATGAAGGATGATAGTGAAGGAAACCTAGTAACCAAAGAGGAGAAACAAAGGATACGATGGGTTGACAACTTCGAAAAACTCTTGAATCGACAACCATAACCACCACCAACTGCAACTGGTCCAGAAATACCACCAGTAGCCTAGCCACAGAATTATCAGTGAACACATGCCCACCGATAAAAGCAGAAGTGAAGTCCTGAATGTCATGAAGTTGCTGAAATACAGAAAAGTAGCAGGACCAGATGGAATTTATGCAGGAGCACTAAAAACAGACGCCGAGATAACAACGGATGTGCTCACACCACTACTGCAGAAGGTTTGCAAGGAAGAAAGGAAAGGTAGCTCATAACTGATTGGAAGAACGGCCACCTTTTCAAACTTCCAAAGAAGGGAGACCTAAGTCTTTGTAAGGCCTACGAGGAATCACGCTCCTGTCCACACCAAGCAACACATTAGGCCACATCATCCTGAAGACTTTAAAAGATGCGTCGGATCCAAAATTACAAACGCAACAGGTTGGCTGGATTCAGGAAGTACAAATCATGTGTGGAACAAATTGCAACGCTACGCTACACATCATCATAGAACAGAGCATAGAATGGCTGTCAATTCAATTCAACTAAACCTCAGCTTCACCGACTTTGAAAAGACCTTCGACAGCGTCAACCGAGAAGTAAATTGAAAACGTCTTCAACACTACGGAATACCACAAATCTTTATCAATCTCATTCAACAACTATATCAAGACGTCACATCCCAAGTAATTCACAATAGAAGGCTCAGTGATGCCTTTGAAGTGAAGACAGGAGTAAGACAAGGCTGTCTACTATCACCGATGATCTTTCTGTTTGTGGTCGTCTGGATGGGACTGGACTTGATCATGCAAGAAACTGTGAGGAGCTGTGAGAAGATGGACATACGCTGACTGGACTGATGAAAAGACCCCAGAAGTAGATTTGGATTTCGCCGATGATGATTTATGTCTAATATCTTTTCGCACAAACTCGAAGATCTCTAGGTGGAAAATAACAAGTAGGCAGAAGAGGTGAGACAGCGAAGGAGGAACTTCTTTCAGGTGAACGCAGAGAAGACACAGGTGATGAAGATACCCAACCGACAACAACAGCAATAACAAGCATCAATCGCTATCAACGGGATAAACGTAAAGGAAGTAGTCTCTTTCACCAACCTACCTAACTAGGCAGCATCGTCTCAACTACAGACGGCAGCACAGATGAAGATGTCAAAGTCAGGATCGGAACAAGAGTAAGACAAGCCTTCCTTCATTAATCTCAAATTAGCGTGGAGATCTACTACACTCGGCAGAAGGTGTGAACAACATCCAGATTTTCTACACTACTAATATCAGTCGTCAGTGCTTCTATATGATCGTTGAAAGACTTGGCGCGTTATGAAAAGCATTTCCAACAACCTGTAAACAAGCATCATCAACATCTGCCGCCTACACCCACTCGATACTGAAGATTAAAATAACAAAAAGAAGCAAGGAGGAACTCTGGCTGGCCTGATAACCAACCAACTAAGAAGCTATCGCTCAACGAATATGCAGTAGCAGAAAGTGGAGATGGATTGGATTGGACACCCACTGAGAAGACCATTTGAGGACATCATGCTGCAGACCGAGTTAAGCTGTCAAGGGTCACCCAAATGGGAAACAACAAGTTGGCTGTCCGAGGTAAGTGTGATATGGAGGAGATGGTTTGAGGAAGAAATAAGAGGTTGTGGGCAGTTGTATGGTCAGGTTGACAAGACTGTAGAGAAGAGAGTGTAATGACGATGTGCTATTGAATCTGTATGATCCATTAGGAATCAAAGGGACAAATAATAATAATATAGCGTATCTACTTCCTAGTGAATGAAATAGTCGACAATGAAATATGTAGTGAATACTAGTCAAGATGTATTAGTAAAATGGAACAGATCTGTTGAAAATATGTTCCTTTTTAAAGACCTGGATGGACGGATATTTGCTTCCGGCATTAGTACATTGCACATCCCCCATACACCCGTGTACTCAACTTAGAATATAGTACTCCAACATGATTGAAGAAAGTAACATCATGACGTTATCATGGAATGTAACTAACAACATTTCTCCATTTTTGAGATATTCCTAGGCTTAAGTCACAATGAATAATCAATTCATATATATAATTGAGTTGGTTATGCCTATCAGTGGAATCTAGGGTATGTGGTTCGTCCTAGTGGTAGGTAGATAACGCTTTGATGTTTGGAACGATGGGAACGAGGTTCAGAGTCTCAGCGGGAGGAATATCCACTTACTAGAATGCATGTACATCCAACTGACAAGTCTTGAATAGGACAAAATGCGCACTTAAGATTCTCCTACTAGACACAACTAAGTCATTGATAACAATAAATATTCAGGCAATGTTGGGGTATCTGCATAAGATCCCTATTGCCAATACAGGTTGATAAATTCGACCCAGTATAACAACGGATAATTATAAGCATCAGCAGCTAATTCACATATAAATGTGCTGACCTTGGTTGTATTGTGTTCTCTGAGCTGGGTTGTTTAATTGTGAAGCTTTCGTCGTCCTTCTAGACATCGACATCAAAATGAAGTGAGCTGTCAATATCTCTCCGTGAGTGATTTAGTAACCTGCCTTGACGAAGTGGTCTGTGATTGGTTGTTTCCTTTAATTGTTATCTCGTTGACTGCGTATACTGAAGTTAGTGCTGATGATGTCGTCTAGCAAGGCAAGACCATCCACCTGAGCTACAAATATTCTCCACTATTTCAAATGTGCTGACCATAACATTTTTGTATCAATAAGCAGGTAGACACAGCGATATTTTTAAAGTTCTGGATTTACCTTCATCCCGAATGCTGCAGATGAGGAAAATTGTATATTCTGTACCATCATATGCCCTCA